AAAAAAAAAAAAAAAGAAAGAAATAGTTATGTCACACCGTGATCGTTACTTCACAGTTGTCTACTAACTTTTCGCTTTTAACCAGGTGTAGCTGGATGCCTCGCCAGCCTCGTTCGATGCGAGACATTGGAACATCCCCGAGTCAGCCATGGTTAGCTTTTTAATTGTCAACGAGCCATCTTCTTCCAGTGCGTATCTATAAAGTGAAAATATACGAAAATATATTTAAAAAAATGCAATGAAAGAAATAAAGAAAGAAACTGGGGGAGAACTTATTTTTAAATTGTAGAATCGTATACCGACTGAAAATACAATTTCTTTTTGAAAAATTCAAATTTTGTAAAGATCATGTACCTGGATCCAAGAAGGTGGTCCACAGGCTCTGCATTTCGAAACCAAGTGATTTTAGGAGGTGGCACACCGACGGCATCGCACGGTAACGTGACAGTTGATCCGTAATCGCTAAGAGTCTCTCGCTTCAATTCCGTTATAAAAGTTGGTTTTTCTAGAAGAAAAAAAAAAAAAAAAAAAAAGAATTGTCGCGCAAGAGTTATCGATCGGTGGACGTTAAAATTTTCGATTAAAATTTCAGGTTTTCGGTGGTATTGTGACAAACGGAGCAATGAAGCTTGGCTTCGTCAAAGTGAATTCTCAAAATCAAGTCACTTTTTTAAAGCAAGCTTTAAGCTCAGGATCAATATTTTATAATATAATTATTTTATAATATAATATAATATAATATAATATAATAATATAAATATTATTTATATTTTATATTATAAAATTATATTATTTTTATATATTTATATAATGTAGTAATATATTTTTACGTTTATATTATGTAGTAATTAAATTTTTGTATTATAAAATATATTATTTTTATATTATTTACATTATAATAAATTGAATAAATGTTTATTACTATTTAATTTTTACAGTTTTAACTGTGAAAACCTTCTTTCTCTTACGATGTAAATGTAAATACTGGAGACGTGTTCTTATTGCGAGTTGTTCTTACCGTACACGACAACTTTCGCGCTCGCGTTCACTGTTGGATATCCACCGCTTCTTAGATCCACGTGGCAGGAGTACACGCCGGTGTAAGTTATGTTTGCCGATATCAATGCCAGAGTTCTGTTCCACGAGTCGTTAAAACTGTATGATATCCTCGAGTTCTCGATGGGGATCCCGTCTTTCGTCCATAAAGTTCGCAACTCGTGAAGAGACCTGAAATTACCCATTTCAAACAGATTTCTCTCACGGAACTCTATATATAGGCTGATTATGAACTGTTTCATCGAACTTTCAAAGTGTGTATTTTATTCTGTTCGAGGAGGGAAAAATTACTAAACGACATGTTTCTTTACAAGTTTCAAGCGTATCTCTTTCTTTATATCTCTAGTTGACGAGCGATAAAAATTTCAAACTCATAAAGAACATATGCTTCAAAATCATTGTTCTATTTATTTATTTATTCGGTATAGGACTTTTATTCTTCCTTGCGACGATTTTTTCTTCTTTTTAGTCAGTAAGTTACCTAGCATTAGCTATGCAATGTATGTAAGTAACGTCCTGGTCCTTGATGATTTGAGTGTCCTGCGGTTTCACTATGATACTAGGCGCCACCTCAGCGTTCGCATCTCCTGTGACTTGCAGCTTGAAAAAGGGGCTGTTTTCCTCTTTGCCCAGCTGGGTGTTAATGGCTCTCGCCCTGTTCAACGCAAAAGAAACAATTAGTCCCTCTAAAAATGTAGCTTGAGGAAAGTTGTTCTTCAATTTTACGTAAAGATTCTATCCATTTTTCCACTCGCTACATGATGTAAAAAACATCTTAGAACGAAATAGAATGGTGACATCTAGTAGATCATCCTCAAGCTTTAAAATAAGTCCAAGTTTATTGTACGATTCTTTTTTCCAAGATTGAAGAGCCTTTGTAGAAAATACTGTGGCGAGCACCAAATTCTCAGTCACTATTGCAA